CTCGGCTATAATCCTCTCTCACAAAGTCGGCCCCACAACTAATGATGCCAACACACCACTAGCTCTCGGAGTGGACTCCACGATCTCTAACTTCAGCCGCTCGAAGTCTCGGACTAAATCTTCCTCCCGAGAGATGATGAAGTTTAGTGCACCATGGTTCCTTCGACTCAATGCATCGGCGACCACATTAGCTTTTCCTGGATGGTAGCTAATTGTGCAATCGTAATCCTTCACCAGTTCTAACCATCGCCTCTGTAACACACTGCTAACTTACTAATATCATAGTCAAATTTTCACAAAATCTTTTCTAAAAATATTTATTAATTTGTGAAATCATGATTTGGGATGCTACTGAAAACATTTCTTTTCTGTAAAAACCCGTTATTTTATCTGTTAAGAAAAATGGATTATATTTAGTCAAACTAGCATGTACTACTGTACAAAATCTGACTGATAAATCAGATCAAAATCTAAAAACCAACATGCATGTCTAAAAGAAACTGTAAGTGTCAGCAGAAGTAAAACGTGGAAAAATATATATACAACAAAAGTCTGCAAAATAGCATATAGCCAAAATCCACGACCACCAGCTGAGCTCACACCTCTGGACCGACCCTGTGATCTAAAAAAGAGAAAAGAGTGGGGGCGTAAGCACTAAAAGCCACTGTGCTCCGCAGAAACCCATGCTGAAGTAAAACAATAATAATAATTACAATATCATGATCAATAGTATATATAACTGAAACTGGTACTGAAACTAAAACTGTAACTGCTGATCAACAGTATATAATCTGCAACTGGATAAAAAATTGTATCTGTCGGCTATAAAACTGCGTCGGAAGCCTATGTGCACACTCTAGTAGGCAGATTACGCCACTAGAACTCAAGATGGACTTACGGTACCTGATCTAACCACCACCCTAAGAGGAACTGAATATACATACCTCGAACATGATATCTGTAATTATACTCAATGTAATACTCAGTCTGAGTCCCCACCTGAACTGCTGGTTTGAAAATGTTAAAGTGTTGATTGGTTGCTGACTGATCAAACTGTAAAAATATATAAATAAACAAATACTAAGTACTATGCTCAAACTGACTTAAAATAGCTGCGAAGATGCTCGACTCTAACTGAATAATTAACTAGATTTACCAGAACAGTCTCGGGTTCTATTTTAACTGATTC